GTTAGTAAACTGACTGCAAGCTCAAGGCAGGAACATACGTTTCGTGTCTGCTTCTCCAGAACATAGATCTTGTCAAGCGCATCCTGGATCACGCCGGCCTACAGACGTTCCATCAGCAACAGGTGGTCCGCATATAGGGTGCGCGCATACCTCTGCCAAAGCGTTCACCTCTGGCAGCAGCTCGCTGACCTCATTGGAGTAATCTGGGCTTCGTGTCATTACCATATCTACAGCGCTCAATACGCAATGCAGCGTACCTCTCTCTTGCTTCTTGGGTTCAGACATGGTGGTGCTCGTAAATGCTGGATGTCAAACTGGGCCAGTTGCGCTTGGTGAGGGTTGGCCCTATTCGCGCGACGCGTAATTGGACTTTCTGCCTCCACTCGGAGGCTTTTGCCATCCTGGCCGGTCTATGGCCGCGTCGGCCGTTGGTTTTGTTCCTGCCAGCATTCGCAGCCGACTCTCCACAAATGTGGCACTCCTGAGCTGATACCAATGACTATTTACTTCAGTGGCTGAAGTAATGCAAAGAGGAGCTAGCATCTGAAATATCTTATGATTCTGCTTTGTTGCTGGTCAAACTGCGTGGATTATGACTGGTCTACTGTGTCCCTCTGCGTCTCTGAGACTGAACAAGTGAAGAAGATGGTCCTACTTGCCCCCGAGATCAGGCCATCCACCCCATCTCTCCATTGTTATAGGGGTCACCGCCTTAACGGCGACCCCTATAGTAGTGTATCCTTTAAGTGCAGGACTCTCAGCAAATGAACTGGCGCCGAATGATATCATACTCACGGGGCTGCGTCCCCTCCGCCCCGCCCTGCAACCATCGTCATCCCCGTACACACCATCCCGCACATCTGAAAAGATGCGGAACAACTGTTGGAGACAACCGAAGTTGTCTCCGAAGAGATTCGAACTGCAAAGAGTCAGTCAGTGTGATGCTAAGGCGAGATCACATGAGAAGCTTACAAATTATCCCCTTCCCGCCCGTGGAACATGCAAAAGCATGTCCACAGGCCGGGCGCTGCGCCTCACCCCCGGCGCAGCGGACATGCAAAGCTTTCCCCATGTGAGTCCCATTTTCCACTTGCATGGGAGGTGCTTGTGGGAAGGCATGGGCCATGGGGCTCATGGCAAGATGGAGAGGCACTGGGAAAGGAGTAATGACCGGGAAGGACAATAATAGAATGGTACATCACTGATTGCCACACTGTGTACCCACTGAGCCTTCTTCTCATCCTCATATTGTTGCCAGAGCCAGCCAGTTGCCAAGAACCCAAGCACCGGGGCTTGTTGCCAGAGCCACAAACCAAGTTAAGCAGACCGAAACAACCCATGCTGCTTCGCTGCAGTCGACGTGCATGGGCCTCGTACTGTAACATCACGAGGTGATCCCATGCTCGCGCATGGGATACTTGGGCACACTGCTGTCGGGCCCTGATGTCAATCAGCCATCCCCAGGGGGACAGCAGAAAGACATGCATGGGGAACCCTACAACCGACAGCAGGTGGCTGTCGGAACAGGCACTTTTGACCCCATGGCCTTAAAAGACCCTGCCCGCCCCTGCTTATACTTACCGCAAAGCAGCGCTTGAGGGTCTGTCGACAGTGGAGTTGTCGCCTAGAGTGTCGTCCAGGTCTTGTGATGACTGCAACAAAACGACTGTCTCAGAAGCAAATAACCAGACGGCAAAAATGAACACTGACCATCCGAGTGCAGAGGACCCGTAGCCCTCGCCGGCGCCGGCCCGACAACCCAAGTGGACTCAGCCCAGGTGAAGCGACGGACGGATCGTGCTTATGGCCCCTTAGCCTCCTCCAGTGGGCTGCGGGACGACGGCGGTGCTTGTTTGTTGTCGACAGTCCAGGGAGCAGTGATGCCGTGATCTAGGAGATCTCCGACTCCATGTGTCTCCAGAGAGTGACGCTGAGAGTAGACGATGAGCGTTAGTGCCGAGGGAGTGCAAGGGGCGATGTCGACAGTAGAGCCCAGAAGATAATCCACAGCAAGACCAGAGTGTTAGTAAGCGCTATATGTATCCTGAGATGAGGAAGCGTCAGCGGAGAGTAACTGATGCCGAAGGTGGACGACCTACAGTGAGGAGCTCCTGGAAGAAACAAATGTCAGCGAGGGAGGGAGATCAGCATGCGATGGTCAGGAGACTCTAGTACCAGGGATATCGGATGTTGAGGTTGATGTCAGACAAGAGCCAATGAAGTGGAGTGGCGGGGAGGAGGGAGCCTACTATGGCGTGGGGGGCGGGGAGGGGAGGGAACGGGAGAGAGTGAAGAAAATCAGAAACGGGGGCGAGGGGCGCATTATAAGGGCGAGTCCTTGGGTACAGTCACGCTACCAGTGATGGCAGTGCATGAACTGTATAGTTGAATGCGGGCCAGACACGAGGCGCTTCTTTCGACGTGATGCAGGTGAAAGGGTGGAGGTCGGTGGCCTGGATAGCAACCGCTCGACGCGTACTATTGGCTCGATGGTGCCACGGGGTCCCACCATGGGAAGCGCACCGCGTCGACTGCGCCGTGTACGAGCGCCGCAGCCAAAGTGGCATTGTCTACTCAGTCAAGAACAATCGCGACCGCGAAGCAGCGTTTATCTACAAAAGGAAGTGGAACGTACACAAGAGAAAGCGAGCCACTCACCACGTTCTCGTCACCTCTCTCACTTGCAAGACAACCGTCACCACATATTCACTTAAGCCAAAGGAGAATGGATGGCCAGTTTATCGGCAGTTGTTGAGGGCACTAAAGCTGACAAGATACCGAGTAGCACTGTAAATAGTACGCTGTCGACAACAGAGCTGTGAGTGATAAACAGGACTTTCAAACTTGCACCGCGCACAGACCCATTGCGCTGCTACCTTGCCTGAAGGACCCCATAATGCCATTTCCAGATTTCACTGCGCGAGCGGCACTATCCAACCTCCAACTCTAAATGAGGGAAGAGCAAGTTGAAGGTTCTCGTGATTTTGCTGTTCTGATGGAGATTGTATGGGCGCAGAGCATTTAGGGAGCCGAAAGAAGGCCGCTATTGATGGAGCCACTGCAGGTGACCATGAGGTGAGCGACGGCATAAGGGTTCGTGTGAAAGAGAAGCATGCGGTGCAACGCTATCCTTACAAAGACGGACCGGGTCAGGAGGTTTTCGCAGATGGGAAGCAGAACTACGCGGGTGGAGAAGAAGCTCCGGAAGCAGAAGGCAGTTCTGCGTTCGCGCCCCTAATCGCCCGTGCATGGAACTCGTGCTCCTCTTGGAAGGTGCGAGAGGAGCGTTACAGGAGCTCGACGGCCTGAACGCGGTTTGCATATCGATCCGCACTCGAAAAAGTTGTGTATACGTCAGCTCAGCAGCTCATAGGACCGCAGCCACCCGTGACTGCCGGCACGTGCAGCGACGGCCGACGAGGGACGCATCTCGTGGCTTGCTCCCTGACAATCGTTCTCGCACCCGGTCAACAGCATACATCCCCCTTGTACACGTCATCTACTTCTTCGACGAGTTGCCACAGCAAGTTCGGATCTCGCATGTCTCGAGGCGCTCGCGCCGCCTTGCGCTCCAAACGGCCACGCTGTGGTCCACCGTCGTCCTCAAGAACCCGTATTTCCAGCACCGCGTGGAACAGATCATCTTGAAACGTGCCAAAGAAGCCTTCCTGGATGTCCGCATACCCAATTTGAACGACTCTACCATAGAAGTGTTTCCACAGCTAACTGGGTTCATGGAGAAGTACTTACACCGTGTCAACGCGATTTGTATCGGTGGATGCCATCATTCTCTGCACTATCTCTTCCCTAATCAGCGCATTGCGGCGCCGGCAGTGAAGACATTGCGGGTGACATTCGCAGACTGCTATTCGGATCAACTTTATCAACCCGCACGTCCTCAGCAACTGCTGGCCCCCGATCTCTATTCGCCACACCTAGAGAGCATCCCTGTACCCAGGCTCAGCTCGGATACAAGAGTGTCGAAGGTGGTGCTGGGAAAACAAGATGGCCGTCAGCATGGCCTCACTCCTGGTGACCTTGATGAGCTTCACCGATATCCAATGTGGTGACTTGGGCGTACTTTCTCACCATCGATGAGTACAACTTGGTTCTTGCATGGCCAGACGAAAATGTCAATCTTCCACACCTGTCAGAATTAGAGATCGCAGTTCCCTCCCAGCCAACCTGCTTCGCACGATTATTTCGATTGCTATCTCTTCCAAGCCTCAGACGGCTCGATTTGCCGTGGTTTCAGTTCGCAGCCGACGAAGAATCGCTGTCTATCACCCTCAACTGTGTACCTACGATCATCGAGCTATCTATCGACCTTCAGTGGGTCACGCTGGCTCTCCTGCTGGATCATCTCGTTGCCCACGTTCAGGTGAGCCGACAAGTGCCGCCTCTTCCTCATCTGAAGAAGTTTCAGCTGCGCCGCCATTACAGACATCTGGAATCCGGCCCTACAGGCCTCAGGAAGTACGCGGTACCTCATATGCAGGATTGATCCATCGGTTGGGCTGTCAGAGTACTATGTTTCGGATTTGCGGCGTAGACATATATAGTTTACTGTCTCTAATACAGAACGACTGTCCTTCATATCCTAGTTTCCGTATGAATAAACATCATGGACTTGGTTCTCATGGAGAAGCAGCCCGGGCAATGGAGACTCGTTTACTAAGTCTTGTGAAAAGTAAGAGCCCGTCGGTCTTCAGCAGTTTCTCCTCTTACCATTCCACGAAAGGTCCAGGAATGGGCTGTTGCCTGCCAATCCCCCTGTTGACTCTGCATAAACCGGTCATGGATTGGCTTTTTGCTGATAGCTCTGCCTTTAGGCACAGCGAACATTGACTATAACGTTAATTGGACGACAATGTGCGGAGGGGCCGGAAGCGGGTCAGCGTGTGGCCGATGCAATATTCCGTTCACCCTGAAGTTCAACAGCGAACAGTTCCCCACTACTATTCTGGGAAGATAAAAGCCGTAGAACAAAAGGTGAAGTACTCCGAGGCGGGGAGTTGAACCCCGTATTCCTTTAAATGCAACCCGAAAGTTGCGAAGACGTGTTAGCCGTTACACTACCCCGGATGTGGATGGTTATGCAGCGCTGATAGTGAATATATGATGTACTCAGAGCCAGTCACCCAAAATGGAGGACCCACTCAGGTGAAATTCAAAGAGAAATGGTTGGGCAGTGGAGCAGATTCATCTGGGTCGGAAGAGGGATGACGAGGACCGCCGTCAGTATGAGTCACAGGCATGAGGAATCCCGTTTCCTGCAAAGCCCCCCATGCTGTGCTGCTCAAGTAGGTATTCGAGTTATTCCAAGTAGGGTGCATACGGCAACCTGTCTCCCTCTTGCGTTTCCCTTAGAGATTGAGGCAGTCGAAGTGTCCATTATTGGATGACCACTCCCCAACACCATTCAAGTGCGATAGCATCACGTGACACGAACCCATATCGCGTCTTCTTTCCAACAGCCTTTCCTGACAAAACTGATTTCGAAACCTGAAAGAAGAGAGAAGCAAAGTGAAATGGCCCCTACCAAAAAGGGTTTCCGAGGCGGAGAGTCGAACTCCGTATCATCGTACTACTCCGCAATCTGCGGTTGATGGTGTTACCGTTACACTACCTCGGAGGCGATGTCTGGCCTGCGCGGCCGTGTGTACAGGAACAGCTCGGGAGCGGGTTGCCCGGGAACGGAAAAAGGTCTCTGGGAGAATGGAAAGGAGAAACATGGGTTCAGGAGGCTGCGAGAGGGGCGAAGGTTGACGTCAGGATGACTCTTGCCCCACTCCCAAGCGGGCCAGGAATCCGGCAGCCCACCGCCACGCCACTGCGCTGCTGCATGTTCTCAGAGTTCAGGCCACTACTTCCGTCTATAGGATGGCTTTATCAGAGAATGCGATGATGATCAGAGTATAAACCAACGCGGCAACATTCCCCAACATACTGTATCCACGGCGTAGGGGAGAGTATCACGTGACTTGACTCCCGACCGTCCTCGTCCTTCCCTCCAGCAACCAGCACCCCTCGTCAAACCCCTATTCCCTGACGCGCTGATACAGAGAGAGATCTCAAACAAGGGAAAAAAATGGGATTGCCGAGGCGGAGAGTCGAACTCCGATAGTCCCCATCCGATTCCGCCCCTTAGGCCGGGGATGGGGTAGCCGTTGCACTACCTCGGGGGCGATGGGTGGGCTGCGCTGCAGGGCCAACAAGAGGGGACCGGAGGAGGGGGCGGACATGCCATGCTGTACGGGCTCTGGTGAAGGAACGCGGCGAGCGGGACGTCGGGATGACTCGACTCGACTCGACTCGACGGGGCGCGCGGCGACCGGGGGGTTGACGCAAACGGAAAACGAAGCAATTGGATTCTCAGATCTCCCACAACCCCTCGCAGCTACATGGGTCGTGATCGATACGCATCACACATCGTACCCAGCATCGCCGTACACAATCCCCCAGCCGGGATGGACAAGGACAAGGGACTCGTCTACGATCACATTTACCGCCAGACGATCACCGGCTTGACCGTCTCCCCCTCGAGCATCTGCCTGACGGCCTCGGCCATCTCCTCGGGCCTGAAGAACCGCACGAGCTTGTCGAGCGGGAAGCGGCCCGCGCGGTACTCCCCGACCAGCTTGGGGATGTACTGCGTGCGGGGAGGGGAGGGGAGCGGGGTTAGCGGGCTTGTAGGCGGGGAGGATGGAGGAGGGAGGGAGGGTGATATGGTATTGGGAGGGCGAGGGAAGCCGCGCTCACCTCGGGCGTATAGGCGTCCCCCATGGCGACGCCCATGATGCTCGCGCCGCTCTTGATCAGCCACTCGACATCGACATCGACCCGATCGTCGCCCGTGGTGCCCACGATGCCGACTTTGCCGAGCTTGGCGACGCACCTGATCGCCTGCATCTTGACGGTCGCGTTCGCGGTCGTCTCGACGCTGTAGCTCACGCCGTACCCGCCCGCGAGCGCGCGGACCTCCGCGGCCGGGTCGGCGCAGTGCGTGCTGTTGACCACGTGTGTGGCGCCGAGGGACTGGGCGAGCGCGAGCCGCCGCGGATCGATGTCCACTGCGATGATGGGGCTGAGGCCGAGGGTCTTGGACGCGAAGATGGCGCCGAAGCCGACCCCGCCGATGCCGAAGATGGCGATGGACCCCGGGGCGCGCGCACGGAAGATGTTGTCGACTGTGCCGGCGCCTGATGAGCGCGGGGTTAGCCGGTGCCTGCTGCCTGCTGCCTGCTGCCTGCTGCGGGAGGGGGAGGAGGTGGGGACGGACCGGTCATGAGCCCGCAGCCGAGCGGGGCGAGCAGGCGCATCTCCTCCTCCGTCAGCCCCTGCACGGGCACGCAGCTCGGGCCGAGGACGACGGCGTCCCTCGCCAGGCTGCTCTGGCCAAAGAAGCCCATTTCCACCCTCTCGCCGTCCGCATCGTGCGCGCGCGGGGAACGGTCCGCCCGCTGGGAACCGAAGTTGACTAGGTGGAACGTCTCGCAGTACGCGGTATGGTGCGCGAGGCAGGAGGGGCAGCCGCCGCACGAGGTGAAGGAGAGCAGGACCCGGTCCCCCGGCGCGACGTGCGTCACGGCGCTGCCGGTGGCTTTGACGACGCCGCTCCCTGCCAACCATGCACCATGCGTACACATCAGCACCTCCCAGGAACACAGGCAGACGCACCCTCGTGCCCTACGACGATGGGGAAGCCGCCGACGGGCAAGTACCCGTGCTCGACGCTCAGGTCCGTGTGGCATATCCCGCTCGCGTACATCTCCACCCGCACCTCGTCCGCCTGCAGCGGGGCGAGAGTGATCGGGGCGAGGTGGAAGCCGCCGCCGATGCGCGGGATGACGAGCGCGTCTGTCGTTGTTGACGGTGGTGGTGGTGGCTGCATCTTCTATTACCGGACCGCGGGTTGGTGTGTGTGTGGGTGCAGGAGTGCGCGTGTCGGTGTACAGGTGCTGCTGGGAGGAAACGCAGGTGCAAGCCTGCCGGGTATATGCGCCCCCTCCCCTCCCTCGCTGAGCTGCCTCCTGCTCGGACTCGGTGTCGCTTCGACCGACGGGTGACCGCCTGCCCAGGCCGGCTCATCCCTTTACCCGTGTGCGTCCGACCGCACCTTACCCTACGCTACGCTACGCTGGAAGCTGGCGGGCCGGCGGGTGTAGGGTGGGGTCATTGGCGGGCTGAGGGCTGGCGGGGGTGGGGGTGGGGGATTGGGAGGAGGCGGGGATGGGTGGGATGACGGGCGGCTGCTCGGAGAGCTATGTAGTGGTCCGGTGAGGGCGGGCTGGATGGGGCACGTGATTGATATTGGACCGCGGTTGGCCCTGGCGGCGTTGCTGTCCCCGCGAGCCGGTGTGGGAGGAGACCTGCCTCCATCCCAGGCAGCCGCTTCTCACCCATAATGTACGCTGTGACTGTACAGTAGCCGCGGTTCAGCATGCTTGCTGCATACACCCCGCACGCGCCAGCAACGACGCTCAGCAGCGCACGCACCCATCCCCGTCCCCGTCCCCGTCCCCGTCCCCGTCACGCGACTCGCCCATTCCGCCTCAAACTTGAACCGCACCCCATGTCTGCCCAGCCTACATGAGCCCCTCACAGCAGCAGCAGCAGCAGCAGCAGCAGCGATTGCACACCCGCCCGCCCCATCCCCCTTCCAGCAGCCAGCAGCCAGCAGCCAGCAGCCAGCCCCGCATGGCCGAGCTCACGCCCTCCCACGCCCTCCTCTCCACCCTCTCCGGCAAGCACGTCCTCCTCACCGGCGGCTCAAACGGCATCGGCGCGTCGACCGTCCGGCTCTTCGCCTCCCTCGGCGCGCGCGTGACCTTCTGCGACCTCGATTCCGCGCGCGGGCGCGCACTCGCGCACGAGCTCGGCCCGCACAGCGCGCGCTTCGAGCAGGTCGACGTGACGGACTACGCGGCGCAGCACGGGATGTTCGCGCGCGCGGTGGAGCACTGGGGGCCGCCCGATGTCGTCGTGTGCAATGCCGGGCTCCCGGAGCGCGGGGACATCTTCTCCCCCAGCGCCGACCTCAACAAGCCCCCAGACCTCACAGTCCTCGACGCCAACCTCCGCGCAGCCCTGTACACCGCCCGGCTGGCGCTGGGGTTCATGCGGCCCCCGGCGGGGGCGGGCGGCGCGCTCGTCCTCGTCAGCAGCGTCGCGGGCATCCTGGAGAGCCCGGGCCTGTGGGTGTACGGGCCAAGCAAGCACGGCGTCGTGGGAATGATGCGGGGGCTCAGGAGCGTCGCGCTCACAGAGTGGGGCGTCGCGGTGAACTGTATCTGTCCGTGGATGACGAGTGAGTCTGCTGCTTCCGTTTCTTTTCTGTCTCTTCTTCTCCTGTTCTTTGCGAAGCGAGGCTCGCGTGGGTGCGGCTGACTGCTGCGAGCCGTATCCCATCGCATCGTGTATGAGCTGAGGGCGACGACTGGCTGACCCATCGCACGCACGCACCGTAGAGACAGGCATGGTCCACGGCATCGAGGACGCGTGGGCCGCGGCCGGCCTGCCGAGCAACGATCCCTCGGACGTAGCACTCGCGATCGCGTTGACGGCGACGGCCAACAACGTCCCGCTCCTCCCCGGTGCCCCCGGCCAGCAGGGGCACCCGGGCGCCCCACAGCCCTTCAACGGCAAGGCGGTGTACGTCGCTGGCGGGCGGTTCTTCGAGGTGGAGGGGAACATCGACCGGCTCGCTGCGGACTGGCTGGGCGCCAAGAACCTGGAGGAGTTCCTCCGCGGGCAGGAGGTGCTGGGCGCTGGGGACGGGTGGACGAGCAAGCAGTAGCGTGCTAACGTGCTGCGTGCTGCGTGTGGTTGGGAGGGACGGGGACGAGGGGCAGGGACAACGGTCATGTATATATAAGTATGTGTCTCTACCGGACCCACTGGAAATGAAGGGATTATGAACGTCCGGGTCGAACGAATACGGTATGCATAATTACAGCAATCTCGTGCGCTCGGGAATAATAACTTGAAATAACCGCCAACCCGCGCACCCGCGACCGTCCAGCCGTCTACCTCCTCGTCCCCGCATACCCCACGCCGTGCTTCAGCTCCGCCGCCTCCAGGTGGTTCAGGACGACCGGGAAGACGTACTTTGCCGAGCCCTGCCCGAGCCAGGTGTCCAGGTGGCCCATCTCCGGGAACGTGTAGCGCGCATAGTTGTCCGGGCCGTTGATGGCGCGGACGAGGTCGTACGTGAGCTTCGTTCCTTCGGCTAGAGGTTGGGATCAGTGTCACAGTTGGCAAACACTGGGTCGGAACCGGCTTACGGACAAACACGACATTGGCATCTCCGTGGATGAATGTGATGGGCATGTTGAAGTGCGACCTAAGACCCAATTAGAATAAAAGGCCATCGCGAGGATCGCAAGTGCGCACTTGATGTTCTCTTCGGTAACATAGACGTTCTTTCCCTCGTGGTCGCTAATCTTCTTGTTGTGGCTCATCATCGACAGCTGGCTCATGGTAGTCATAGTTGCTCCGCCGACGAGCTTGTCGATGTTCGCGTGCAGGTTCTACATCGGTCATTAGCATTTGTCCCGAGGAAGCGGTCCTACTACGCACCGGATCAAGGTTGCCATGTGACCAGAGGCGGCCAAAGAGGAAAGACTGCCTATG